CAAACAAAAAAATTTTTGAACAAAAAAAATGAATAAAAATAACCAAGCAACAAAAGGAACATAACATAAAGCACCAATATTAAATAATTGGTTGCCATGAAAAAAATAAACATACTAGAACTAGAACTAAGGGGGCAGCAGAGTTTAGTTCTTAACCATGTCCCATGTGCCCAAAGCAATAATATTAAGTTGACAAAATTCTGAGAAATTTTCTTAATACCTTCATATATGGAGAGAAACAAACTGGGCACATATTGCTATTCTCTGCATCTTCTAATTGAAGATGCTAAAAAAACCTACAGAGCAAAAATTGATGAAGCAAGGAAGCAAAAATATAGGCCTAATTTCTCAGGACAGAAGTAGACTCAAGATTATTTCCTGAAATGACGAATAATGATTCAAAACCTAAGCACATTTTTCCTTTATGACAATTGTCCACAGCTTCTAATAAGATGGAACAAACATGGCAGAAGATACTTAAAACCCTACAAAAGAAAGCAAAACTAAATTTAATTACTGATGGCTAGAGATCAAAGAAAGCACAAGAAAAAACTGTTAATTATGAAAGACAAAAAGACATATCTGACATAGATTGTGTTGCTAACTAACGAAAAAAGAAAATGAAATTGAAAAACTATTTCAGGAGTACCTGGGTGGCTCAGTCAGTTAAGTGTCTGCCTTCAGCTCAGGTCATGATCTTGGGGTCTTGGGATCAAGCCCCACATCAGACTCCCTGCTCAATGGGGAGTCCGCTCCTCCCTCTCTCTGTGCCCCTCCCCCCACTCATGTTCTCTCTTGCTAGCTCCGCTCTCTCTCTCAAATAAATTTTTAAAAATCTTTAAAAAAAAATATTTCAAATATAATTTCAAGAACTGAAGGAAAAATGTGAATTTGCAGATAATAACAAAAGACCATGTTCCAGGAAAATGTGATAAATGATGTTCAATGCTGAGCCATACTCCTGTTACAGAGATGAAGTTCATGGGAAAATAAAGAAATCTCAGACACAATAGAAGCAAATAATCGATTGAGGGCTAATATCAGACTGGCCTCAAACTTCTCTGAAAGAACATTTAAAGCCAGAAGACAAAGAAGGAATGTCTACAAAATTCTAAAGGAATGCAAGTGTTAGACAAGAATATTAAACTCATCAGGATGTCATTCAGATATAAAGACAGAAGGCAAATGTTCTTAAACATGAAAAAATTTTCAGTGTACAGCACACATGAACCCTTGTGTGGGAAAAAATGATGAAACCTAAGCCAATTAAGAATTGAGTCTAAAGAAGGAGCCTAGGGCCGCCTGGGTGGTTCAGTTGGTTAAGCGTCTGCCTTCAGCTCAGGTCATGATCCCAGGGTCTTGGAATCGAGCCCCACATCGGGGTCTCTGCTCAGTGGGAGCCTGGTTCTCCCTCTGCCTGCTGCTCCCCCTGCTTGTACTCTGTCAAATAAATAAATAAAATCTTTAATAAAAATAAAGAAGGAACCTAAATTAATAAACTATGACTAATAAAAGGGGGGTAATGAATCCATTTAAATATTTTAAATCACTCAAGTACTATCAGTGATTGTAAAACATGAATGTTATATATTTAGACAATATGAAAATTAAAGTATAACTTTAAAAATTGGGAAGTGAAGAGAAAAAAATGAAAAAAAAATAAGAGGACTAACGTTCTCAGCCTTCATAACAGGCTGCAAATTGAAATATGCAATTTAAAATACAATGACATGAATAAAGCTCTTATTTAAAAAAATAAGCCATTGACCATCTAATTTTATAATTTACTGACCTTCTTATTCTTTGAGAAAATACTGGTTTTTGTTTTGTTTTGTCACAGAGACTTTTACTTCTGTTTTTCCTCAGTTTTACCTGTTAGGAGTTTACATACAATGCTGCAATGAAGAGCCTTCTTTGTATATCCGTATATACTCGTACTTTTTATTTCCAAAAGATATATTGACAGAATAGGAATATTGGGTAAATGAGTATTTGTGTGTATCTATATAATTATCAAAATACAAATGGCCAAAATGCCTTATTATAACACTTAAAATGTACATTTCCACTAAAAATATAAAAAAAATACCACTGCCCATCTCCTCTCTCTTCTTCAGGAGTACATCACTGTATTTACTTATCACTCTACTTTATCCCAATCTGAGAATAAAGAAGTGAAAGATCATGATTTCTGAAATTTGCATTTCCTTGAATATTTGTGTTTTTGAGTATCATTCTATATCTTACTGGTTACTTACATTCTTCAGTGAAATTCCTATTCAAATCCTCTGAGTATATGTCTTTGGGTTTTTTGATGTTCTCACAAAAATTATTAATATAGTGAACATATTATCAGTCTCTCCACATTCCATTATGTCTTTACATTTGTTGATATCTTTCCTCAGCTTAATGTTATCTGTAGTAACAGCCATTTACTTTTATAGTTTCTAACAGAAGTGCCTGTCTTGGTTAGAAATTTCCTTCATATGCCTTAGTTCCACCTTTATAGTTTTCTAAATATTTTCCTAAAATATATACTATGTCATCTTTCATCTCTTTTTCCTTATTCCATGGGGAAGAATTTTTTGGATATGCTCTTTTATAGTATTAATTAGTACTGTATATCTGGAAAGGCAAGTACATCTTCAATATTCTTTTTTCATAAATCTTAGGGCTATATAAAAGCATTTATTTTCCCATTTTATCTGGATATTTGGATATCTGAATATATAATTTGGAAGTATTTAATATTTGGACATTTTTAAAGGGATACTTAGGTATCAAATTACTCCACTGTTTTTCTAATGAATGGTATATACTAATGGATATTGTATTGAATTTATTTATGTGAGAAAAATTGACATCTTTGTGACATTAAAACCTCATTTTGACTATAAAGGACATTATGGAGAAAACATGAATAAGGTCTGTAGATTAAATAATAACCAATGTAATATTAGTTACAACCAACGTTAATTTTCTGATTTAATAACTGTGTAAAATGTAGACATTATGGAGAAAACATGAATAAGGTCTGTAGATTAAATAATAACCAATGTAATATTAGTTACAACCAATGTTAATTTTCTGATTTAATAACAGGACTGTACAGAATTAAAACAGAGAACAGGCATAGGAAATTTTCACTGAAGAAATTAAAAAGAGAAGATCGCTATGACTTCAGCTCGCTCTCAAATTCAGAAAAACATAGAAAGAGGGAGAAAAGTAAATATAATAAAACTAAGAATCACAGGATCTAGAAGGGTAAACAAGAGTTCTTGTGTTACTCTTACAACCTTATATAAGTGTCAACTGATTTCTGATTGATTCTGTCTGTCCCCCCTCTCACACATACACACACACACAGAGCAACATATACAATCCAGCATAGAATGACTTTCCAGTAGCTTATATTTTGTTTTGTATTAAGTTTTGTTCCAAACAGCATCTGTGCATTCTTATATCTTTTATAGTTTTGTTCCAAACAGCATCTGTGCATTCTTAGAGAATTTGACCCAAAATAGTATTGTGTTAATTGTAAACAGACTGTATTACTGATTTCCATTCTTAGTGACTACTGCCTGCTAAGACATAAAACAAGTGATATTATTTTCTTGCATATTTATCTTATATCCAATAATTTTACCGAAGTCCCTATTAATTCTGGTAGAAAAATGTTCAAGAATCTCTTAGATTCTCCTACCCCATAGCATTAGAAATCTAAAATTATTATTATTTCTTATTTTCTAGCATGTACATTAACTATATCTTACCTTTACAAAAACATCAAAAAATGTTATATAATGGCGATAGTAGGGATCACTCTTCTTTTTCTGATTTTAAGAAAAATGGCTTTCACCATTTAAAAGGATGTTTAGTAAAGTCTTTATCATATTCAAACTATTACATACATTAGGCTGGTTGCTAAAATTTATCATATGCTTCTTTCTACATTTATTGATATCTTCACATGATTTTTCTATTTTTAATTTGTTGATATAATTTATTTTGTAGGTAAATGTCTTAACATTAAACCATCTTTGGATTCCATGAGTAAATTCTAAGTGGACACACTATATAATTCTTTCATTGTGTTGTTAAATTGTTGGTTCAAGTTTTACTTGTACCCATATTCTTAAATGAAATTGGTCCTCTAGAGCTTACTTTTCCAGTATCTTTTTCATGTTGTGACAGCTGTATAAAATGTCCTGGGAGTGCATCTTTTTTAATGCACTGGAAGAATATCAGCAACATTTGAATTATCTGCTTTTAACATTTTCTAAAGAACCCAGATGGTACTTTTTAATTTTTTTTTCTAATTCCTAGGAAATGTTCTTGTCAAATTTTCTACTTCACTTCAGGTGTGAATATTGATAATTTATATACCCACAGCACCACTAATTTCCTCTGTGAATTCATATTCATTACACATGTTCATACACAACTGCCAAGATAAGCAGTGGTCCCATGATGGGTCTTGTCACTTGCTCCCCCTGTGAGGACTCAAAAAGAAAGCTGTGTGCTCCCTCATTTCCTCAGCTACAAATATTAGCATGGTCTCATACCTCAAAGGTAAGGAAACTTCATGCCTCTGTGTTTCAGCTTCTCCCTAGAACCTGGAAGATCTTGTCTCTACAAAGCAATTTTCATTTCTGCTTGGTTGTCATTTCTGGTTAATTAGCTCTGCCTTTCCCAGAGAGGGCAGAAGTCCTTCATTAACTCACATTATAGGAAAACTACCAGAGCCAAACCCACTTACATGGTTAAGATCAGGTCAACCAAACACAGAAGCTGCCATGAGCAACTTGTAGATAAAATGGAGTTGATAAGAGAGAGCTACAGAGACATGTACTATCTTCCCAGAATCCCCCATGACTCTCAAAAATTCATATTTAATTTTTTGACGATATATGTTTGCTTAGACCATTTTACCTATGCAGTTTCCCACAATTACCATTAAAAATGGCAATTTCCTCACACCTACCACATGTTTAACCTACCTCAAATTCTGCATGTCTGTGAATATCCTCTGCTCGTTGCCTGCTCAGGATAAATTCAGCTTCATTTGCTACTCTTACTAGATGATCCTTCATTGTTTGGCTAAGCAACCTATAAAGAGATGAATACTGTCAAATAAATAAATGTATACACATACAACATATATAATTAATCAATGCTCAAAGCCAGTGTATCTTGTTATTTGGGGCAGGAAAGGATGTTTACTCTCCTGTCATCATACCCAATGAAGTGTCATTATGTCACACTAAATAATTAAAAGGATATAATAGCAAAAAATTATCCTTCTGGCAATAGCAGAATAGCTTTTATCCAACTAGCTATCCAAGGAAAACAACTAAAACTGCTGGATTAAATTTGTGTTTTAATCTTTTTAAGGTACTGGAGAGTTTACAAGGCAGCCACGATATAAGGAGCTAAGATCCCAGAGAAGAGAGCACACAGATGACATTCGGCATTACTTTTTTCATTGAACCATTTACTTTTCACCGGTGGAAATAGAGAAGCTAAACAGAGATAGTTTTACAGTGCTAGGGAGACAAAAATTGAATGTTATAAGCTGTCAAGGTGGAGGAATCCTAGATTACCCAGGCTTACAAAAGGAACCCAAGTATACCCTAGGAAACAGTACAGACCAGTCCTCAAAGACACTAAAACAGACTCTCAAACAACATTATAGTGATTTGTACTTAGATTATGAAGGAGCCAAAAAGCTAAACAAAAATTTCAAAATCTCATAAGGTAAGGAGAAAAGAAACAGACATACCAACACAGGAGAACTATAATCCAGGCAAACTGGAAATAGGGCAAAATCTCACAAAGATTTAAAAAAAACTCCAGCCTTGAATCACCTCAGTCCTAAATTAACATAATCAGCACCTAGACTACCTGGTAATCAGAAATCAAAAGGAAATCCCTAGAGGAAGATCTCATCACCTAGAGACTTACATTTACCCCTGTAATTTTAAATATAATTTCCAACAGTCAATCACCAAATAACAGGAATAAAAAGAGACAACAATAAAGGAATGAAAACCAAATAGAAGACAACTCAGACAATCAAGATAGTAAAGTTTCATATCTGAACATTGAAACCCTGTAGTTATGGTTCAGGACAACAGATTCTAAGAAAAAGAATTCCGAGATTGGAAACTGTTAAACCACTGAACAAAACAAATATGAAATTAAGAATAGATTTACCAGCTTATTAAACTCAAATAAAGAAGTACTTAACTGAAGAATAGGTCAATGACAAATAAACAGAACCATGGTAAGAAAAATGATGAAAACCTGACCAAATAAGTAACAGACATATGGAACATGGTAAAAAGGTCTAACAGGAGTGTATCTAGAGTAAGGAAAAAAGACAAATAATTCAAAAAGAGCAATATTTGAAGAGATAATGGGAAGTATCTTTGAAAATTGAGGGGAAAAGCCATTGAACCATATGTTGAAGTGCTACAAACTCCAAGCAGGATCAAAGAATACCATACCTAGTCATGTCATAATAAAACTGTCAAAGGAAAAAAATCTTAGCCAGAGGGAGGGAGAAAGTGGAAGAGGTGAGGGCACTTACAACCCTTCAAAAGAGCAAGAATAAGACTGATGGAAGCCAAGTAAGAATGCAATGACCTCTATCAAGTGCTAAACAAAAAGAGCAGCTAATTAAGAATTTTATGCCCCAAAAACATCTTTTAAAAATAAAAGTGAAAGTATCCAAAATATACCACTGTGAAGAGTCTTTTTTCTGAACTCCCCTTATCTGCCTAGAAGCACAGTCTCCCAAAACAATTCATCTGTTGCAAGTCCTCTCCACTGAAGTTTCACAATCAGGAAAGAATGACTCCTATTACGTAGAGACTTAGAAGTCAGCACCTGGATAGGAAATTGTCTAAAGGGACACTGTCACAAAAGCATCTTATCTCCCATCTATTCTCCTAAGGGTCCCATTTATCTTTCCTTAAAGTCATTTGTTTTCCCTTAAATGCCCTCACATAATAAGATGGGATAAAGCCTCAAAATTTAACCTCTTTCTTGAGTCACATTTTTCTATGAATTCTCTTAAACATCCATGAAATTTTTTTTTTTAAAGATTTTATTTATTCATTTGACAGAGAGAGACACAGCGAGAGAGGGAACACAAGCAGGGGGAGTGCGAGAGGGAGAACCAGACTCCCTTCTGAGCAGGGAGCTCCATGCAGGGCTCGATCCCCAAGACCCTGAGATCATGACCTGAGTCGAAGGCAGATGCTTAACGATTGAGCCACCCAGCCCACCCCAAACATCCATGAATTTTTAAAAATGTCTTTTCTCTTGCCAGTCTGTCTTTTGTCAATTTGATTCATTGGCCCCCAAAGAAAGAAAATAAGAGGAGAGAGGAAAAATTTTTCCTCTCAGGCAAAAGCAAAGTAAGCACATTTAATGACAAACAAAACAGAGAAATTGTCAATAGACAACCCACATTAAAGGGAGTTTTTCAGGGGTGCCTGGGTGGCTCAGTCGGTTAAACATCTGCCTTCAGCTCAGGTCATGATCCCAGGATCCTGGGATCAAGCCCCGCATTGGGCTCCCTGCTCAGCAGGGAGTCCGCCTCCCCCTCTACTCCTCCCTCCTGCTCATGATCTCTCTCTCTCACTCTCTCTCAAATTATTTTTTTAAAAAGGGAAGTTTTTCAGACAAGGAAAATAATATCAGATTGATTTAACACAAGGAGGTAGAAAACAAAAGAAAAAGTCAACATGGGTAATCTAAAAGAATACTGAATGTTTGTAACAATAACGACTTCTAAAATTCAAAAATATCATAATGTTAAAATATATAATAGCAATCAAAGCAAGAGAAATTAAAAGAAATTAGTGTTGTAATGTTCTTTCACGTCCATGAACTGGTGAAAGAACCAATTTGTTTAAGATGTTATCAACTCTAATATTCATGTTTCAATCCCTAGGCAACCACAAAAGGTATCTAAAATAATGTATAACCACCAGTAGAAAAAAAAACAACTGAATAACAAAAATCACTTAGCTTAAATGAAAGAAAAAAAAAGAAACACACAAAACATGGAACAACTAAAAAGGAGGTAGATAGTAAGTTAAGTTTTAACCTAAATACATCAGGAATATATAGAAAGCAAACAAATTTAATGATACAATTACTGTCAGGTACTTTTTTTTTTAAGTATGTGCTGTTTAAACATAACACAGTTTCAATATAAGGTTGCACAAATGTTGAAAGTCCTTTTTCAAAAAGATAAACAATTTAAAAAATAGTGAAAGAAGATTAATGTACCTTTATTAATGTAAGAAAAAGTTGTCTTTAAGAAACAAAATTAGAGATAAAGAAATAAATACTTCGAATGATAAGGTGAATGAGTCAGAAAGACAGAAATTCAGAATTTTGAGACTCTACATTTTTATGTTCCTAAGAATATGACTTACAACTAGGTGTAGAAGATATAAAGCTATAGCACATTTTAACAGTGTGATTACAAACCTGATAAAATGGACACATATATCACATTACACCCACTAAGTGAAGAATAAATATGCTTATCATGAAAACATGGATCATATACAAAATGGGAAAAATGTGGGGTCATAAAGAAATCTGTAATAAATTTCAAAGGAAGAAATCATACTCAGTACATTCTCTGACACAGCAGAACTACATTAGAAAAAAAATCAAACATTCTGCACAAAGAAACTCTAGGATGGCCTCCAATTTTCCAAACTTCTGGTATCCTCAGCCTTACATAATCCTCTCCCTGAAATTGTGGATAGGAGCTATGGCATGCCTCTAAGCAATAAAACATGGCAAAATTGAAGAAATCATTTCCATTATTACATTAAGTAAGATCCAAACTTCCATCTTACTAGCAGTCTCCCTCTATTCAATCTCCACCCTGATGGATTAGCTAAAGAAAGCTGGCATGTTATGAACTGCCCTGTGGAGAAGTCCACGTGGTAAGAAGCAGAGTACAGCCTTCAGACAAACACCAGGAAGGAACTGAGACTCAATCCCATCAACTCACAAAAAATTAAATCCTACCAACAACCAGATGAACTTGGAAGCAAATACTTCCTCAGTCAAACATCAAATGACTCACAAACACCTTACCTACAGCCTTATAAGAGAACCTGAAGCAGAGGGGCCAGACAAGCCATGCCCAGAATCCTAACCAACAGAGACTATGAGATAATAAATGCATGTTTCTTTAAGGCCAGATTTTGGTAATATTGTTGACACAGTAATAACACTTGTGCCCACCAATATTTGAAAATTATGAAGACACCTCTATGTAAGAAAAGAAACATGATAATGGAAATTAGAAAACACTTTGAACTAAAAGATTATGAAAACAACAAACTAAAATGTGGGATTCTGCTAAATCTATGCCTGGAGAGAAATTTATACACTGAATAAAGAAAGAAGAAACTCTGAAAACAAATTACCTAAGTATTCAACTGAAGAAATGAGAAATAGATCACAGAAAACTCAATATATTGAAAATAAAAAAAGCAAAGTAGAAATTAATTATGAAATAAAAATGCACTTTAGAAAATCAATAAACTGGTTCTTTCAAAAAACTAATAAAATCCAAAAGAATATGTAAACAATTAAAATTAATAATTGAATTTAGAAAGATCACTAGATTCAAGTGATCTAGATCACTACAAGTGGTATGCAAAATATAGAAAAATCTACTACACTCTACTTAATAGTTACCCAAAAAGTGGAAATAATTTTAAGTACTCCTTTGAAAAGCATTAAAGATCATCAAAATATGTAGGAACTAACCAAATGTCCAGAATTCTATATATAAACAAAAAGAATGCTGAGAGAAGTTAAAGAACACTTAAAGAAATTAAAGAAGGATCGTACCATGTTCATGAAAGTGACAGTGAAAGGCTCAATCAATTCTCCACAAAGTGATGTATAGCTATAACAAATCCCATTCAAAATTCTAGCAGATCTCTCTACGGAATTTGATAAGTTTATTCTAACAGTTATATGAAAATGGAAAGAACAAAGAATAGCTGAGACATTCTTAAAGAGGAGGAGGAAAGAGGAGGAATAACAACAATCATAATCTT